CCTTTGTCCCTCGTATCAGTTTTCCCGAGGGAGGCTTCTGCCCAATTGCAAATAAACAAACAATTTCACATCACGCCAAAATCAGGCCAAACCCAACCGTCTCTCGTTCTCCCGCCGAATNGGCGCTCGTGACAGGGGTGACCGCGAGCACGGCCCGCCACCATCCTTCCGTGCTGGTGCTGGTGCTGCTGGTGCTGCTGATGCGGCCGGAGGTGAAAGTCGTCACCGAAGTCCTCGCACCGCATTCCGCCACGCATGCCGGGCGGGCCGGGGGACGGGCCGTACGGTCGGTGGTGTAGACCGGCGGGGCTTCGGTGGTGGTGCCGTCCTGCCCCGTGAGGAACGTGGCCATGGTCCACGTCCGTACCGGCAGTGTCCCCGTCCCTCTCCAGGTGGTGCATGCCGTGGTGTTCCCGCTGGCGACGAGGGTGGGCATGGTGACTTGGGCCCATGTGCAATCCAGCGTCATGCTCTCCTTCACCTCCGCTGCTGTGTACACCCTCGCCGTGGAAGCGGCGACCTCCGTGGAAGGAGTGCCTTTTGCGGTCGTGCATGGGCATGCCGTGGCGACGAGGGCCGGAGCTGGACGCCGGCGGCAACAAACACCGCGTGGATGGGGTGCTTGCTGGCTCCGGCCTCGATGCCGATGCTGTCCTGGGTGGCGATGTTATCGTGCTCGGTGTCGCTGCCGTCGCTGCTGTTGCTGTTCGAGTCGTCCGAGACCGGGTTGTTGTCCGCTTGCTCTAGCTCGACTTCGGGTCCGCTGCTGCTGCTGCTGTCCGTGTTGTCCGCGTCAGCGTCGTCAGCTGCTGATTTTCCCTCGAGGAGCTGCTTTGGAGCAAGTCCCTGCGCCACCAGGCGGCCGGGGCGGAGCTGGAGCAGATCCATGGTCTTCTCCAGGCCACCCGCTGTCATGGAGGGGACACCGTGGCACTCGCGAAGGTTCCTCGCTGCAGCCTTGTGCAGCAGTGGGCGCGACTTGTTCGATAAAGTTACACCCAACTTAATGGTACTTGGGAAAGTGAGTAGCCGGGATTTGAACCCGTACGTGAAACTTTTGTCGCCAAATGGTAAACCATTAGTCTCGTCGGCGCTGACTAGTCTAATGGCGTAACTTTATCGAACAAAAAGATATGCACAGAGCTCATTTGCACCCGGCAGGATCACTTGTTGGGTTTGAGAGTAGAGATCTCCGGGGACGGACCCCTCGCCAGGCGCTGCCTGTAAAGAACTTGATGGTGCTTGGAAAAGTGACCAGTCGGGTGTTGAACCCGTGCGTGAATCCTTTACCGCCAAATGTTAAACCATTAGATTAGTCAGCGCTGACTTGTCTAATAGACTAGTCTAATGGTGTAACTTCATCGAACGCGACTCTCCCGTACGTACGCTTGCAGCTGGGCTTGTAGGTCACGCACGCTGTCATGCTGATGACGTTGTTGTTGCTGTTGTTCTTGTTGTTGTCCGTGGCCTTGCTGTGCATGGTGTTGGTGTTTTTGTTGTTGTTGTTGTTGTTCTTCTTCTTGATGCTGTTCATAGTTGTGTGAGGTGGGGGGGCGAGAGGGCAAGGGCGAGTGCCAGATGCGGCGCAACCTCTTCTAGAAGATGGATGGGAAGATCGCCGTTCCGCAGGTTCTTTGGGAGGTTGGGAACTGGGAACCGTTCTTGGTTCTTCGGGAATGACTATCGAACTTCTTTTTTCCGGGCGAGTGCCAGGCAGGGGCGACGTAACCTCTTAGAAGATGAGAAGGTCGCCGTTCCGCAGGTTCTTTGGGAGGCTGGGAACCGTTCCTTGGTTGTTCGGAACGTTTCACGTTTGACCTCTGAAAACCTTGCTCTCTTCGCGCTTTGACAGCGTGAGCATAAGCAACTGTAAAACCAAGGTATCTATTTTATTGCAGGACCGCGTCGATGAAACCGACGTTCTTTCTTGTAGCAGTGTGATGATGGCCATTCGTTGTCGAAGCTGTTGAGAGAGGCGGGGAAGGCCGACGAAGATCGACCATACCGCATTACAGGTCCATGTAATCCGGCGACAGCAATGTTGTACGCTGGATGGCTGTCGCACACAAGGGCTGAACACAATAGTCTAAGGTGTGCCGTTTGGCGCCGTGACCGGTAATGATGTGACCGACGCCTGTCACAACCAGTGGGCTCGCCGCCGTTAAACGAAGGGCACGACGGTCAGTGGCGCACCCGGAAGTAAAAAAACACGTGACAAACATGAATAATTCATTATTTGTGGTCAATTCCGCGAAAATCTGTCCACGCGAGGACAGAGTTCACGAAGGCTCATCCCCACAATATACAAAAACACTATCGTTCATTACGGGACGAAAACGAGTCACCTCCCGCATGAAGAACGCTCAAAACCATCACCCGTAGAGGCTTCAGTGGGGGGGGGGG